TCTCAGAATTTTGAGGATCAATTGAGGTAATGCATATAAAGCCCATTATAAACAATAAAATGCTATTTAAATGAAAATTTCTTGAGCATGAATAGGAAATGTAGGAAATAGTTTAAGAGAAAGATTATTCTAGCAACATGTATAGAATAGACTGAGTATATGCAGGGAAACCATCAAGAAATCTCTTGTAGCAACACAGGCAGGAGGTAAAAAAGGGCTGGAGGAGAAGAGAGACTATAGAAAGGGAGAGGATAAAAAGGAAAAATTGGCAGGACTTGGGTGAAATCAGCATATGAGTAAGCAGATCATACAGGGCCCTACATGGTTGATTTGAGGGACTGGCAAGCCTCCCAACTTTCCATTCAGAGTGTCTGAAATTCCACCATTAGAAAGATTCAGAATTTGGACAAATCATTTCAGTTTTCTAGGTTTACATTTTACCAATAAGGATCAAATAAAATCTTCAAAGTTCCTTCAAACTCCAATACTCTGTGCTTCTTCCGTGAAAATTGTTGACAGATAGCTGAGAACAAATTAGGACTATGGTACGAGTAGGGGTCTGCCAAGGGCATAGGACTTGAAAATAGGGCAATGAATGGGACCCTGTGAAGGTAGCAAAGACAAAATTTTGATGACTTCTCAATTTTTCAGAACAATAATAGTGTTTAGAATGTTGGGTTGGGAGAATTAATTATTTTTTTAAAAATTAGAATTTTTATCTATAGCAGCTCTTTCTATGGTGGCAAAGAATTGGAAATTGAGGGGATGCCCATCAATTGAGAAATGACTGAACAAGTTGTGGTACATGAATGTAATGGAATACTATTGTGCTATAAGAAATGATAGCAAGCAGACTTCAGAAATACCTGGAAAGACTTATATGGCCTGATGCTCAGTGAAGTGAGCAGAACCGGTAGAATGTTGCACACAACAGCCAAGTTGTATGATGACTAACTTTGATAGACTTAGCTCTTCTCAGAAATGTAAGGATCCAAGACATCTCCAAAAGTCTCATGATGGAAAATGCTATAGACATCCAGAGAAAGAACTATGGAGTTTGAGTGCAGATTGAAGCATACAACTTGCTCTTTTTTTTCTTTCTGTTTTGTTTTGTTTCTTCTTTCTTGTGGTTCCTCTTATTGGTTCTAATTCTTCTTTACAACATGACTAATGTGAAAATGTTTAATAGTAATGTATATGTAGAGCCTATATCAGATTACACACCATCTTGGGGAGGGAGGCAGGGAGCAAGGGGGAGAAAATTTAAAACTCAAAAGCTTATGGAATTATGTTGAAAACTAAAAATAAATAAATTAATTAATTAATTTAAAAAATTAAAATTTTTTGATTACAGTTTAAGTTCCAAACTAATTTTTAAAACTAATTTTCCTTTCACTTCTTTGATGAGTGTTAGAATTCAAATATGTTCATAGAAACAAAAGAAAATAAATTAAAGCAAGTTTCAAAGCAGATTTTGTGATTATACATATTTGTAAACTTACTTGCCATTTTATTAAGCACAAAGCAAAAAATGTATATTGATATTTATCTTGTATTATCAAAATTGTCCTGCTTTTTTCTTGACTTCCTTTTATTTGTATTTAACATGGATTTGTTGCTGTTGTGAATTTAGATTTTGAACAAAGTTATACTATACTTGTGTGAATGTCCGTATCTTTATAACTTTTACCTATGAGCTATGACACTGGCCTTGTTGATTTCACAGGATCCAAAATCTTTAAGTATGAACCACATTGAGATTAAAGACCACACTGAGATTATGATCCCTTTTCAAAATGATCCTATTTTCACCAACAATTAATCCTCCTATCTCAACTGTTTCCCACATAGTAAGTACATAAATGGTTTTTCATTCATTCATCTAGCACTGAGTGCTGGTGGTAGGCCTGGGTCCTTGGGACTTGTATTTATGATATAGATATTTCTTTCTTTAAGTTTAAACCCATATGTGAAAATATAAACTTATGAAACAAATATATTAGGGGGTTGTTATTCCTATTGTGAAAGGATTCTCCACTTTACAAATGTTTTTCCCCATAGTATTCTTTTAAGAGCAAATTTATCTAGTGCATTCAGAATATGATAGCACTTATTAAAAGTTTTAGGAATGCCTTTAAAAAAAAAGTGTGGCACACCTCCAATTTTAATCATTGTTTACCCAGTCACTCAGATTTCTGCTTATTTTTTAAAGCCTCCAACCCCCTAGTCATACATCATTTGTGGCAGATGTTTTTCTACCATTTCTCTTATTGATCAGATATCCGTTCTCCAGTGACCGTATGTTAAAGAGCGCCTGTAATTAGTTCAAGTTCCACATGTCCATTTGCCCAAGTGCATTTTAACCCAACAGTAGAAGTCACTAGAACAATGAGCAAGAGATTCTCAGCTGTGATGTTTTCAGTAAAAGTCTTTAATAGGGAAATTTCCATAATTCTTGTTGATGTTTCAGACACTCTGCTACCTCTCCCTTTTCTCCCTCTCCTTCTTTGCTTTCTTTTCCCTTGTCCTTTCTTTTTCATAGCCATACTTCTCATACTTAGCCATAACCATGTTTCTGCTTTCCTTCTCTGATCCATCCTTTTGACAGGGCCTTCAATTGGAGCAATCCCTTAACCTTCTTGGGTCCCAGTTTCCTCAAGTAAAAAATGAGTGGGTGGGATTAAATACTGCAAGACTGTGATCTTATGAACCCTATGGCTGGTGTTTGTAGATTTGTTCTTTTGGGTTTAGAAGATTTTTTGTTTTGGTGGTCAAGTTCCTAATTAAGATGAAAATATTATATGAAAGCATAATGCTTTACGCCAGGATGTGTGGGAGAGGGTCAGGAGGAGAAGAGCTGAAAGGGGTGGGATGGGCCAGGAAGACCAGATACCAACTTTATATATTTGGCAATCTGGTTTCCCAGCACAGAGATATTTTCTGTCAAAGCTGACGACTGTAACTAAGAGTTATGGGGTTAGAAGTCTCATCCATGCTCTCATTACTCCAGCACTAATGCAAAATTCATGTCACAGATTTCTGTGATATTTATCACAGATTTTTCTTGTATAGCTCCATACCTTATTTACCAATTACATGAAACAATCATTTTCTTTTTTTGGAGTACATCTTAAATATATATATGTGTATGTGTATGTATGTGTATGTATGTATATGTGTATGCATACATTTATTGAAAAGCAGTATTACAAATACATCATAAATTGTCAGTGCAATAATTTATATAATTAGTGTCTTCAGAAGACAGACTTCTGAAGCATTGTATAGAATAGCACAGTAAGGGTAGGTGGCAGCTAGGTGGTGCAGTGGATAGAACACCAACCTTGGCGTCAGGAGGACCTGAGTTCCAATCTTGCCTCAGACACATAATATTCATTAGCTGTGTGACTTCTGGGCAAGTCACTTAACCCCAATTACCTTATACACACACACAAAAGAATAGCGTAGTAAAGTATGTGTGTGTGTGTGTGTGTGTGTGTGTATGTGAGACAGAAAGAGAGAGAGAGAGAGAGAGAGAGAGAGAGAGAGAGAGGAAATATGATGAAGTGGTGGGTGGGTTTTCAGTCAGGAAGATCTGGGTTCAAATTCTACTTCTGAGTCACACTAATATGACCCTGGACAAGTCACTTAACCTCTATGTGCCTTAGGCAATTCCTTAAGACTAAATCTTTAACTCATAGTTTAGGTGCTTTCTGTGTTGGTAGAGGAAGTTCCCACAACCAGAGGATGGCTCATTAAATAAATCATAGATCTTTCCCGTGTATGTGAGTGAACATGAGGACCAGACCCACCTCCAACATGTACTAGCTGTGTGACCCTGGACAAGTCACTGAATCTCTTTAAGTCTCAGTTTCCTCACCTGGAAAATAATAATAGCAATTAATTCACAGAGTTGTTGGGAGGCTCAAATGAGATAAGATATGTGAAACAAACTAAAAAAAGTCTATATGAATGTGAGGTATTATAATCATTATTCCCGAAAGTGTCAATTATATTAATGACATTTTACTGCCAGGACAAATTTAATAAAATACCATGACAAATACTTTGTATTATATACATATGCTTACATACATGTCAGTTAACAAACACTTATTAAATGCTTACTATGTGCCAAGAATTCTACTAAGCTCTTTAGCTTCAAAGAAAAGCAAAAACACTGTCCCTGCCCTCAGGGAACTCACATTCTAATCTAGGAGACAACATATGAGTAACTGTAGGTATAAAACATATATAGTGCAAGTGAAGGTAATCTCAGAGGGAAGGGAACTAGCATTCTAAATGTTTCAATTCAATAAACATTTATTAAGCACCTACTATGTGCCAGCACTGGTACAAGTTGTCTCCCCAATAGAATGCGAACTCTTTGAGGGCAGGGCCGGTTTCATTTTTTCTTTATATTCCTAGCATCCAGCACAGCGGGATAGGCTTCCCTACAAAAGGAAGCCCTTAAAACCTTGTTAATGGGTGGATTGGTAAAACCCCTTTTCCCCTTTCTTTAGACATGGGTAATGCCCACATAGAGCACTACCTATAGTGCATAACAAAATGCCTTCTTTAGTTGTTATCAAGGGACTATAGTGCCCAGTCATCCCGGTTGCCATCCAATCCTCAGGCTTCCTCTTTCTTCCCAGAGGAAGAAGTGAATCCTGAGAAGCTAGCTCGCAGCGCGGATGCTGCTGCTTTCTCCTTTCCACCCGAGGAGCGCGAGGGAGGCGAGGGGAGGCGCGGGGAGGGCTGAACTTATCACGCCACCTCCTCCTCCTCCTCCTCCTCCTCCTCCTCCCCCCCCCCCGCCCCC